TCACCACAGCTGCTTCCAGCCTTTGGAGTCAGTCACAACCTACATGTGTTACATCTCAACAAACTCCACAGGCAGTCAAACACGGAGAGGTACTCGCCAAATAACCGTATGACGAAACACTGTGTGCCTGATACATAAAGTGGTCTTCAGTTAAAAAAAGAAAGAAAACAGCATTAAAGATGGTCAATAATTATTGATAGAGCCGAATTGAAACTTTTAGTGTGATAATCTTTCAGCTCTTTCGCCAGCCCTGGATAAATGTAATTTTTTTTCTTTTTTAGAAGGATTATGGGTATGGGTAGGAATAGCGGTTGAAATTGGAAAAAGTAAGATGACCTTGAGTTTTTTTTTTTTGTCGTCACACTACTTGCATACTCCATAATGAGCTCTTCCTGCTACGGCATGTTGGAAAAGGTCTGTTATCTGAGAGAAAATACATCACGTGACAAATGATCATAGTCAAACTGCATGAGTAATACACCCGAGCTACCTTTACATACTGTAGTGGTAGTGAGCATCATCATATGAAAAGCGCCTTCCACCCTGCTGACAGCGCTCTCTACCAGCTTCCGGCTGCTGTGTGTAGCCAAGCCTGACCTTTGACTCCCTGTCACGAGAGGGTAAGATAAAGGTGTGATGAATAAACTTAAACATATTTATCGTCACTATTACGAGATTGGCTCTCGTGAGGGCAGTCGGAGCCCGCGACCAATCAGACGCAGAGTCTGCGTGCGTCTGATTGGGTTCGTCGTTTGAAATCTTTAACAGCCGGGATGTAAATTATCCCAGCTGCTGTAAACAATGGATGGTGTTTACATGTTGCAACTCACAGATGGAACAGTTGAGTGTTTTAATAATTGATGTACTTGCTAAGAATTAATTAGCCAATTGCAGCACGTCCTGACTTCACTCGTAGCACGCTCCATTATGAAGGAATGTAATGGCTGTTTGTGAGGCCGGGCGTGTTCGTTATGTGCTATCATGGCGGTTTAAAAGACACTATCGCTGTTCTGTTGAACATTGCTGATACATATTGCTTTTGTTTTATCGCCCAGGCCTACGTCTTCCTGTTTTCATTTGTATGTCGCTCATTGTTTGAACAACTTTCCCGTCGTGAACATAATGCTCCTGAATGAGCGCGCCGAGCTCCATCAGCTGTTCTCAAGGAGTTGTTGACATTCTTGGAAATGTAGTTTTTACCTCCATTTCTGGAGTCATTCAAATCTACAAGCAAAGTAGAAAGCCATTTGATGTAAAGTAGGTCAAAAAAAAAGAAATTAAACAACTTCATTGTAAAAGAACTTTTTACAATCTGAATAAGAGCATTGGTTAGTGAAAATAAAGCTAAATAATAACGTTTTCATGTATTAAAGGATGTGTGTGGGTGGGTGTATGCTTGCCTTTCTATAAAATTGACTAAATAAGTGTTTATTTGTCTGCCAGAGGCAACACATATTGCAACATTTTATAACTCTGTGCTCCAGGCAGTGTGTATGGGAATCCACTCTGACAGTGTTTATCTCTCTGCGTCACGCATGATATTGTATACGACTTTCATGTATGTCATGATAATCGCTTTGGCTCTGCACACACACACACACAGTCCTCCCAGCCAGTCTGGTCACGTTGGATACACACGCTGCGTCGTGACTTACAGACGATCATAACATGACAATATAAAGGGTTCATCCATTTGTATTTGCCACGGGTATCAGTGTGTGTTTGCGAGCGTGCGCCTGTGTGTGTGTGTTATGGAAATGAGACAAAGGGGTCACATTATTCAGCAGTAGTTGACATGCAGGCTCCCCAGGTCCATATCAATATCCCCCCACAGACGCAGCAGGAAAAATAAGGCGATTTGTTTCCTAGAATACTAATCACAGTCAGGAGGGACCGAGAGGAACCCGTGTGTTAAGTAAACACGCTGTGTGAAACCATTCCAAGGTGTTGTTCTTCATCCTGGGGCACAGGGTCCTCCAAAAGAGCGTGCTGGTGCTGCATTCGAAGGACTGAATTTCAAACCGCCGTGCTGCTTTTTGAAAAATACGCGTTTCCCAAGTTTCCGAGCACTTTGCAATATTCATGCCTGTAGTCCCTTCTGCAAGGAGCGGCTGACTGATGGCTTGAATATAATCGGTAATGAGATGTCCAAATCCAGCTCCTTGAGCAGCTATTCACAAACAACAGGACAAATCGGACAATATTAAGGGTAGGTTCACTCAAATGACAGAAAAACTAAAGCGTTTTGTCTCCTACCCTCAGCGATGTATAGCCTTGCAGATACGTTCAGCTTTAGTTTATTAAACTGTAGAAACTTTTTTCCCTCCACACCCTTCTTCTTTTTTTTGTAGTAGCTTTGGATTCAAACTCCAGCTTACCAGAAAGCGACTGTTTGCCCAAGTAATGGAGTCAGTGACGATTTTGCCATCAGCATTATCACATTCTGACACACTTTTTCTCACCTCAGTTTGACCCTCGTCAGCACCCATCAGCTGTCAGCTATGTTGGCACCCTGCTAGTTCATTTTGTGCTTTGTTTGTGTAGCTCATATAGAGGCATCAGTGTTAAATTAAAGCTGTTTTCATAACCAGTTAAAAAAAACTACTTGTAGTACATTTAAAGGTTATGGGTTACAAAGCATGTGATTAATGGGAATTCCTCATTGAGACTGAAATGCGGTGCCCCAGAAGCTCCACATTTCTATACTTCAGCTTGTTCCAAATGAACAGTACGTGATTCATGTTGTTGATACTTTGTGTTTGATTGAGTGATGAGTGGAAGCAGCAGGGCGGCCTTCATCAGCATCGCTCCCTGCATGTGTCAGCCATAAAAAATAAACTCCCGAAAAAGCAAATCATCATCACCCCTCCACACATTAAAAGAAGTTGTTGTTGTTGTTCGGAAACGAATAAATCGTTTTTGAGGGGTAGCTCGGCGCTCGTGTCTCCGTACGCGCACGCCGCTGGCGTGTGTGTGTGCGCGCCCGCACATCGCATTACGCTCCGAGACTTCTGCTTTGATTGATGCTGTCAGCGAGTTTGGAGAAAGAGACGGAGGCTCGGGAGGGAAGAAGATAAGGAGAGAAAAGAGGAAAACAGATAAAGAAGAGAGAAAGAGCTCAAGAAGCATCCATCAAGCGGCGCAATCAGATTGTGTTCCTGGCTTTCTGTCTTTTCTTTTCTTTTCTTCTTCTCTGCATCTGCCAACCCCTCAATTCCTCATCTTTTCTCTCACTCACTCTCTCTAATGCTCTCACACACTCACAACACACACAC